AGTCGATCTATCCAATAAGACATTAAATCAAAACAGTAATCCACCGTGTTCAGTTCGTGATAGACACATTGATATATTCTAGGAAAGGAAGGTGGATAGTGACAGTGGATTAATGACTCGTGGCATAGGTCTGCGATTTCAGATGGCAATGCATCCTCATAAAGCTGTATTGGAGTGTTTTATTTGGGGCTGACGGCGCTACCGGTCCATATTTTTCAGAAACAACATTGGTGAGGCCAACAACATCAACCTTTACAAATCAACGATAGCAAAGTTGCTTTTAGAGTGGATTTTACCAGGACTGTCAAATCAACAAGTCGTTATTTTCCACCTACAGGGTAACAGTCCGTCAAATATAACAAATCAGCTTTAAGATCCATTCAAAAAATTTTAGCAACCAATAGCTATGAAATATTGAAAACAAAATATTGTCAAAGTATGAGATGGCAGTTTGTCATTGAGACATCACCAACTTATCGAATATTAGGAAATTACATATAATTCAGTCAAAATTTGTTTATATTATTTTCTTCAATTGATGTGTTATTTTACTGACTTGAAATCACCTACCGTGTGTTTTTTCCTATAAACCTCTTGCACTTACCCATTAAACACCTACTTGATGACAAAGACTCTACCAAAAATTTCATAGATATTGCTCGTTTCAAACATTTATTCATTTACTTACTGTTCATGAGTATCATTATGACACCTTAGATTGATATTCGCACAAAACCATTCAGGATATTTGATATGCATACATCCAAAGTAGAATATCTTTGGTCGTTCAGGAAGTAAAAAAACAGCCACACTATATCTACAACGATTAAGAGATACCCAAATATATGTCGTAAAGCTACCAGCATACGTAAAACCTGCAACAAAACTAGAATCTGCAATTCTTTCACGAAGTACGCATTAGACATTATTTGAATAAGAGCTGATTATGTCCTGGTATTTGAAAACGACAAGTGACACATAATTCTGTGGGATCCATCAACGCTTGGTCTCAGTGGAGCAAAATCTGCCAACTGTTGAAATATACTCTACGATGCTTTATAAGACTATGGTGGAATTTTTCCCAAAATCGTTGCACAACGCTTGAAAAAATGCAAATGAAATTTTTTTAATTATTTCCATGACGCCCCAAATGGCTCTGTCGAAACCCGGGTTATACATCTTGACAGTACGGATTTTCGATACGGTTCGATATTTGAACTATCAATACTTTTGCTTCGGATACCAGATATTTTTGATTGATATTTTTATATGCGATACGATAGAAAGATTGACCAACTTCAGATTACTTTTCTTGTTTGTTTCCTTCCGCTGGTGCTACTCACTTCAAGACCTCACATAATTTATTTTGGATTCAGGGTTGACACATTAGGGGTTTTCCCCAAAAAACAGGGAATTTTTATTTCAATGGGGAAGATTTTGGGTTGTTTTTTGGGGATTTCTTTTGGGGAAACATATTTCACTGGGGAGGTATTATATGAAATTTTATCAATGACATTACATAATGTACTTGTTATGTATATACGTATTTGTCTTTCGATTCAAACCAGGTTGGAGTAAACCTGCCTACCCTTCTAAAAAGCGAATTCATGATAGCCATTTCGATAAACGTATTGAGGATAAGATTATCTCAGCACCAAATAATACATCTTCGACCCTACATTTCGCCCTTTGACAAAAAATGGCGAAAGGTTTGGCCGAAGTTTTGGATAAATCTTTAATTACTATACAACAAATTTTGTGGATATTTCGCGTAATTTGAGAGTAACAATGCACTTAATTACGGCCAGCGAATTCACCGAGTAACCGTGCAATCGACTTATTAATTATTATTCAAATAAGATGATTAAAATGGTGAATTTGGTTTAAAAAATGTTTCTGGGAAACAGGTTGTGAATGTTTGTGAACGCGTTCGACAAGCCCTCTTTCGCAGCCCGGCTAGATCTGCTCGGCAACATGCTGCTCACCTCAGTGATCGTTCGGTAAGGCGTATTTTGCATATGGAACTGCACTTTCACCCCCAGAAATTGGCCATTGTGCAACAGTTACAGCCTGGAGATTACGCATAACGAATGAACTTCGCACGTGAGAAGGAAGCACTTATCGAGCAAAATGAGTAACTCATTTACTGATTTTGTGATTTTTTCAAAGCGTCTAACCTTTGTTTCGGACCCTGTATATATTAATGTAAAATGTTCTTTTAAATTAACAGACTCTTGCCATTACCGAGATCCTGATATGTATAAGAATTAACAGGAATTTTATACCTACGTTTTTCATACTCATCAAATTGTCATCACCTTTTATAGTTCATTAAATCCGTGGTTACGACTCATAGGAAATAGTATTCGAGGCGCAAACCTATTTATTCTTATAACACATCCTACATTTTGAATTAACCAAACATTGGACTTTGACTGCGGCTTCCGCCGAAGTTTGAGTTAAAAGCCGAACATGGGCTTCGGCCAAAAAATTTACCCTATTAATGTCCAGCAGTGATGATATGAGTGGCCACCAAGATCGAGGGTTTTGGTACCATTAGAATTGTTATGATGTTTTTTGAAGTCGCAAGTGTATGCCAATAAGCCGAAATTCACCAACGCCCTAGAAATCAAATAACTGAAACCCATACGGCGAAATTATACACGGTGATTCACAGGTCGTGACTAAAAATGAAACACAGGACCGCATTTTAAGGGAGGTCTTCTATGTAACATTTTTTCCTCGAGGGCTTCATTAAAAAGATTGTTTAAAAATAAAAAATAATTTTTTTAAAATCTTCAAAACCGTCAACTGGAATGAACTAAAATTTGGTATGTGGATTTACCTAAGTGTTGTCCACATTTAAAAGTGTTTACTCAAAGCGGCGGGGGTACAGGGGATTAGTGGCATTATTTTTCCAAATAAAAACTGCAATTTTATTGTATTGTAAGATGCAGCTCTTGGGATCCGTGATATTGCGTGAAGCCGCGGCATTGATTTGAACGATATTATATTCCAAACAAAATGGAATGCCAAGACGTTTCAAAGAGAAAACCAGTTCCGTTACCTCACACACGCTTGTTTCATTCCAGTCTAATATCGACCCTTTTCTAATGTCTACTTTAAAGCAAACTGCATTGCAAATGAGACTCCAAAGATTTTATGAGTAAGGACTGACGGTGACTGAATGGTGTATATTTGAAACAGGTTGTTCGGAAAGTTCTTGCGGTTTTTGTTATTTATATTTTAAATGGTGTATTTTACACTAACATTTATTCATGATACTTTGACTTTATACGAGTATATCATTTTAAAGAGCGCTTTTCGCTCCATCTAGTCGTTGTATTCGTTTTGTTTTACGATCATTTTTTTTTCACGGTTCCAAATACAGGATGGACAAGAGGCAAATTCGCACGATTTTCTTATTCCAGTTCAAATTAGGTCGAAACGCTGCCGAGACAGCTCGCGATATCAACGATGCATTTGGCCTATAATAGGAACCACTAACGAATGTATGGCACAATAGTGGTTTAAGAAATTCCGCAGCGGTGACGGAGCTTTGAAGATGAAGAGCGCAGTGGTCGGCCAGATGATGTCTACGACGACGAATTAAAGGCCCTGGTGGAAGCAAATCGCGAGTTTGCGGACGAGCTTGATGTGGGTATTACGACCACTTGAAACGGATCGAAAAGTAAAAAAAGCTCGATAAACGGATACCGGACGAATTGAGCGAAGATCAGTTAAATCGTCGTTTTGAGGTAGCGTCTGCCCTTCTTCTACTCAACAAACACAACCCGCTTGTTGCTGAAAATTGTTACATACCTAGTTTTAATAACTGAAAATGACAACGGATAAAACAGTAATTCGAAGTTGTTTACTCTATGAATACAAACTTGGTACAAAAGCTGCAGCGGCGGCGCGAAAAATAAGTACCGCATTCGGAGATGATGCCGTTAGTGATCGAACAGCACAGAAGTGGTCCAAAAAATTTTCTTCGGGAGATCTCAATTTAAGCGATGAACCCGCGCTCAGGGAGACCAAACATCATGAACAGCGAGGATCTTCGACAGGTTGTGGACGCAAATTCCAGGACCACGTGCCAAGAACTTGCAGAAATGTCCAGAGTGAGTCCTGAAACTATTCGTTTGCATCTTCATCAGCTAGGAAAGGCGTGGAAGTTAAGCAAATGGGTCCCACATGAACGGACAAATGATAACAAATTAAGTCGTCATGCCATTTGTTCAGCAAACATTTCACGCAACGCTAATGAACCATTTCTTAATCGGTTATTAACCCGCGACGAAAAATGGATCTTGTATTCGAATTCTAAGCGTTCGTATCATTGATTGTCGCCTACTGACACACACGTCCAAAGCCTCCTTGCACCCAAACAAGGTTTTGTAGTATGTTTGGTGGAATTGTCCATTATGAGTTTTTGGAAAGGGGTCAAACCATCACTGCTAGGTTGTATTGTGAGCAGCTTCAACGAGTACAAGCAGCACTAATCCAGAAACAGCCTTCTTTGATCAATCGGAAGAAAGTGCTATTCTTGCAGGATAACGCCAAGCCTCATACCGTAAAAGTGACCCGAGAAAAAATTTCTGAACTCGGCTGGGAAACATTACCGCACCCGCTTTATTCTCCCGACATTTCACCCAGTGACTATCACTTTTTTTGTCTCCTGACAACTGTATGAGGCACCGACAGTTCACAACTCGAGATGGTGTAATAAATGCAGTCCGCCATATTTTGGACTCCTAATCCAGGGAGTTCTACAATACCGGCATACAAAAATTGGTTCCACGTTGGCGACAGGTCATTGAATGTGATGGTAATTACTTCGACGAATAAATAGTGTCTTATTGTTTCTCAACAAAAATTTATATTTTTCTACTAAAAACCGCACGACCTTATTTGGTTACCTGATACTTTGTTCTATCTATGGTTGCGTATATTATACCTGCTGAGAGTTGCAATACAAGAGTATTTTTTGTTTACAGGGTTGAATGCATCTGAGAGGAAATCTTTCATCTTTCTCCGTAAGGAACTCCCTGTTCGCTTGGCCAACATTATGAAAGAAATCGCCCTACTGCCAGAAAATCTGTTACGGATGCCAAGTGTCGTGGCTGTAAACGATTGGTATATGCGCAGTTTTCAAGAGATTTTAGAATTTGAGAAAAAAGAACCCGACGCTGAAACACTGGAGCATTTCTGTAACGAATTAGTTAAAATCAGAAACAGGTAATTTGATGAACTCGACACTATTTCTTGTGAAATGTTTCTTGACACAAAGCTGATAGAGATGCCAATGCATATTTTTAGACATAAATAAATGACATGCAAAATGCAACACCGACTAGGAGTGCTGTAATTCTGAGCAAACCTGTACAAGTTTTAGGTCTAGTGAGAAATAAAAAGTGATTAAAATTGTAACTCGAAATTTCGGATAATAGCTGAGATATGTTAATAATTTGTTGAAGCTCCTCTGTTCGCTACGCATTCGGTAAGTCGTGGCGGCATTGATTCGATTAGGTGATTGATGTCTTCTCGGTGTATTGTATCCCAAGCCCTCTGAATTTGGTTTCGTAGAGCCTCCAATGTTTGTGTAGGGTGCGGTGAATTTTGCAACCTTTTTCCCATCATGTCCCATACATACATGTTCGATGGGGCAAAGGTCTGGAGATCGAGGAGGCCACTGAAGCATATTTACTCCGGACGCTTCTAAAAAGCCTAAACGAACACCTGCGACATGAGGTCGTGCCCTGCTGAAAAAGTAGATCTTGAAATGTTTCGAAAAAGGGAAGCAGATGTGGTTGTAAAACTTCGTGGGTATAGCGCTGGGCAGTCATGCTACCTCGAATGAACACTAATCGTGACCTGCTACCGTAAGCAATGGCACTCCATACCATAAAACCCACAGTGCGATGAATATGCCGTTCGATGGAATATTGGACAAATATGTTTACAAGTTTTTATCAAATTTCAATAAATAATTCTGAGTGTTGCATTTTATGTCACTCAGTATATTATAGCCTACTTCATAACTTTTGATATAAAAGAATAGGCTGCCAGAACAGTTTTGATCAACATTCTGCCAACCAAAAATTATTGTTACATACTGCACTAGGAAGCTAGTTAACTACATACGAGGTCTGTAAATTAGGTGATGAGACTGACAACGTAGCGTTCGATCTGGCAACACTGGAGGTGCCGGGCTTGGAGGGGAGACAGAGGAACATGTGATGCGCCCTGAGAACAAGTTTGAACTTGCTCGAGTGATTTGGTTGCCCGAAGCTATTTTTTTGTGAAACTTGGGCACAGTGCAACGGAAACTCTTGCTAAACTTCAGCAGGCCTATGGTGATATTCAGATCGATTGAAGATAAACTACGAAGCGAAAAGACGTCAACTTCAAGAACCGATGAAAATAACGACATAATCCGGGATCTTGTGCATTCATATCATTGGTTGACAGTCAGAATGATCGGGGAAGAGTTAAATTTTGACTCAAACCACCGTTCATCAAATCAAGAACAACTGGGTGAACTCACTTTGGGACAGTCGAAAATATCAAATTGTAATTATTATATTCGCATAAAAAAATTGAAAAATCAGTCTCATCAATTTACAGACTTCGTGGCAAGGGATTATAGAATCGAAAACAATATTATAAATTTATATCTATGCTGCCCTAAAAAAATCTATTATTTAGAGTTCTTTAATAAGCTTTCCAGGAATAACCGACTGAAAATTTGTATTCACGTTTTCTGTGTGCTAAGCTTATTATAGTATCATAAAAATCAAGAAAAATGGAGAAACCATTAATTATGGCTGTGTATATACAATTCTGTAAAAACATTTATTATGGTTGCCAGGTGTTCACAATAGTTTAGTTGAAAACTTTTCATATAAATAAATTACGGGAGGCAGACGTCGACACGTCTGCACTAATCTTACCTATACTGGAAGTAGGTATGCTCAACTTCATTTATCCATATATATTATAGTATTTGAAAAATAGAAAAGCACTATGAATCATGTGTTCCCGTTTCTAAAAAACTTACTTTTACAGACATAGCGATGTAGTAGAAACCATGGCCCAAGGTGTTCTAGAATTGAAAGAATCCCATGATGTAGATCATCATACGGAGCACAGCATACAGTATTTCTTAGACCGCTTCTATATGTCTAGGATATCAATACGTATGTTGATAAATCAACATAGTAAGTAATACAACTCATTATTTTATAAAAAATGGTGTCAAGTAGGTCTGTACTTCCCACGCCTTCATTGGATGTTTTAATGAAAAGGGGATAGTCTTTTAAAAATACGGAATTGTATCTTGACTAGATAGTTTCACTTAAATACGATGACTCGTGGACCTCTACATATCAAACTGTATAAAATAAAGCTCATATTTCTATTTCCATGACAGATGTATTAAAAATATGTGTGACATTATATTTACCAGGTGCGTAACATCTCCTGAATCATCAGCTTCTGAATATTAGGAAATCTTTCACTGAAATCAAACAACCTCCCAAATGAAAATGAGCAGGAAGTTTCAACGTTTTTTATTTTTGTCAGTATCGTTGCCACCACTGAATAAATTTTCAAAACTTACGACTACCAAAACCTCAGTTTACAATTGTTGTTGCTTCTTGTTTGCATCACACAAGTCGTATTTCTCATTTATGTCGGTTTTCCAGTCCGGAGCAATCTGTCGGTCTGTAGGCGTTCTTATAACTACGTAATTTCAGAAACACCTGCATCGATTTCAGTGAAGTTTGGCGAGCAGTATATTATAAAAGCTAACACTACTTCATTGCCGGACGAGTAATGAGCAGAAAACACAACGGCATCAAAGTATTTACAAACTTGGTGTTTACACGTTTCCCAAGTTTCTGCCACTTTTGGGCGTAATGAAAAAATTTCTTGGTGGAGTTGAGATTTTGCAAAATTACCGGACTTTGTTCTTCACTATTTTATAGGATTATGGTCGCTCAATTATTTGAACCATGAGCATGTACGTATCAGGAGTTATTATAAAATGATAGGATATAATGGTCCATCTTCAGGAGAGTTTTTAAGAAATTTATTATATCAATGCGTAATAAGTACTGAGTTAAAACACTGAAATTCCGTTCTTGTTATTACGCCCCTGATAGCAATCTTCTTATCTACGGAAATATATACCTACTTATATCCAGAAAACGATGATATACTGAGTAACACAAATGAAAGGTTCGATCATAAAACGCAAAAAAGATGCATTTAGATGTAAAAACAGTTACCGATGATTTTAGACGAGCCTCTGAAACGTGGCGAGAAATACAGAGTACTTTAAAATGTATGTACACATAAGTTGTTAGACAAGATCTTTTATTTATAAACAATATAACCTGGGTTGTAATGCCCTGAAAAACAAAGGAAAATATTTACAAAACACAGTTTTTCTAGGAATTTATCACTTAAGATAAATACGGTAATCGTCCAAGATTTATGAGTTGGGTGCAATTATAAACATTTCAAGGTTAATATCACTTTTCTGCATTGTCATGTCATTTTTTTAAAGCAGGTAGAAGTACTTAATTAAATAATTTGGTCATCGCTCGGAGTTGATTAATCATGAAATATTATTGTAGCTTAGGCTCACTTCGTTTCAACCTGGATCTTTATCTGATGCCAAATATGGTACAATATATGTATAGTACAAGTTATTTTGGTTATGTTCTTATATAGACTAGCTGGATTTTTAAACGTGTATAGTGCAATTTTTTTATTTGTGATATCGTGATATCTATAAAAATATTTTGTGCAATTAAAGTTTAATATGCAGATGCAGCATTTTTTCGCTCTCTAGTGTGTAGAGAAATTCTGAATACCGATGGCTACGTTCTGATCATACAATTTAACATTGTTATCAAATCTATAATGTTATGAACGTGTGTATTTGGTTAGATGAATGAATTGTTTAATCTGATCGCATGCTCTTTTGATGCTCAATACCAATTAGTTACATGATATGTAGCGTAGAAAATAATATCCCTCATAACTGGATAGAACTACATGATATAGGTTTCAACCTTGATCGATGTAAAGAGTATGCATTGAAGCATAAACAATATTTTTAAAGCTGATAACATTATCCTTCAGACAGACCGACAGACAGTCAGACTCGCGGAAATGAATGGAATGGTTTTCCTTCATGTATATGTCATATACCATCCAAAAAACATTTTCGAAAATTTTCGCGAATACAATACTTCCTCTCAAGTCAAAGGTATGAGAAGTAAAAATTATATTATGTCGCTATTTCTAAGTGAATTAGAATAAAATATATGTACACATAAGTGGGTAGACAACTTTTTTTATGTATAAACAAGTAATTTGGGTTCTAATGCTTTAAAAAACAAAGCAAAATAATTACAAAACACATTTTTTTCTAAGAATTCGCCACTTTAGATAAATACAGCAATCGTCTAAGATTTATGAGTTGGATGCAATTGTAAATATTTCAAGGTTAATATCACATCTCTGCGTTGTCACGAGAACTTGTATTGCCTTTTTGTAAAACAGAAAGTAGAAGTTATGCTTTTTTACCTTTTTCTCATAAAATACTAATACTCTAAATAGGAGAAGCTACTATGAACGAAGTAGATAGGTACACTGATAAAGCATTAAAGGAAATCTGAAAAAGGAAAATGACATTAATGACACTTGTTTTTTTAGATATTTTATATGCTTTAAAAGCAAATGTACTGTGCATGCGAATAGGCTTCAGGTACAAGTAACGATTTAAATGATATTTTAAAATAAAAAAATATCGCTTTAATGAATAGCTAATTAAATCATTTGGCAGTAGCTCGCAGTTGATTGATTATGAAATATTATTTTGGCGTAGGCTTAATACGTTAACCTGGATCTTTATCAAATGCCAGATGCGGTATGATTTTAAAAGTTATTTTAGTTATTTTCATATATAGACTGCCTGGTTTGGTTATACAACCCATTTAATTTTAAACGAGCTTTAGAAAGGATTACTATTACTGATCCATTAATTTAATTTTTAGATTTGTGATATTCTGATATCTATAAAAATGTAGTAGATTTGGAAAAATTCTAAATACCGACGGTTACGTTCAATTTAACATTATTATTAAATATATAATGTTATGAACGTGTGTATTTGATTAGATGAATGAATTGTATAACCTGACGCATGCTACTTGATCCTCAATACCAATTCGCTTCATTATATGTAGCGTAGAAAATAATATTTTTATGCAATTAATCCTTTAACTGGATAGAACTACATAATATAGATTTCAACCTTGATCGATGTAAAAAGTGTAGGAAATCCAATATCTCGCGACCTTGCACGCGATGTACAATGCGTTGAAGAATAAACAATATTTTAAAGCTGATAACATTTTAAGTTCTATCACATTTTAGATCAGTAGATAGCTTTCTTTTGTCGAAAATTAGCTTCATTACCACCAAGGTAGTCTTGTATATACATATCAAATATTTATGTGTACATTCATCTTTCTGTTATTCGTATTTTTTGACTCGACATGCTTTATCCACAGTTAATTATTACTGCATCATCTTCGTACGTCCATTTTTGTCATGATGTTAAGATGCTTAACAAGAGTATTCAGGGGGAATTATCTCATTCTTACCAAAAATCTGATGGGAGAAGAGGGAAGAGTATTTCGATACGAAGCACAAGGGGTCGCAAACGAAGAATAAGGGTGCTAGACGCTAATTTGTAGAACGCCTGAACGCAAGCTATCCAAGTAGCACTTGAACAAAATGAATTTTTAGCCTATTTCACACTTGTGCCAATGAAGTGCGATGCCTTCGCATGTCAACCGTAACTGTAAAGCAAAATAAAAATTATTTTAAACATGCGTGTGGTTTGTTTACCTAGTATGTATTTTAAAAACTGCGTTCCAGCGTCTTTTTTTTCGTTTGCGGCTCCTATTTGACAGTACGATTACAAATCAGTCACTTCTTATATCTATAAAACTTGTGTATGTTTCCTGCTAGTATTTTGTTCACTTATGCAGATTTGGCAAAATTAATGGAAGCATTTTAACATCATGCTGACATGTTATTGTTTGAGAGGAACTGATATCAAAATATGGCCATGTACATATATATAGAGACAATTATCATGCGGAAAAAGGTAGATAACAAACCACTTTCCCTTTTTGCGGAGTTTGCCCATTTTTTTCCTATTTTTGGTTATATACCTTTCTCCGCATGATAATTTTCTTTTTGTAGATCCTTTGGCTTGAAGTACCACAGCAAGTGGCTATAATCGGCCGCGTGGTTGTGGTTAGATGTCGCCTTGAAAATTCGAGGTCTTCTAGCCATTTTATACTACAATGTGTAGGTTGGCTCTTGTTGGGAACTTCGTGTGTCATTTTTCCCTATCCATCTTCGTTTCCTCAGGTTACACCCGTATCCGGTTGTATGGGCATGTGCATCTACTTTTGTGGTTCATTTGTGGCCTGATGAAACCAACAAGCAGAAATAAGTATTGCTCGGGTTGCCTATCCTATTTTCTGCTCGAATCCACTTTCCCGTTTTGGGTATTTTACCCATTATTTTCCTGTTTTTTGTTTATATATATAGGGTGCGCCATCTTTTATGTCGTTTTGGAAACATGAAATAACTTTGAAAACGAAAAACTGATTTCTATATATCGGGTATTTTTATTAGATATGGTCCTTTACAATTTCTTGAGACCAGTTATTGAACACAACATCTATCAAGTGGCCACCTTTATTGACCAAAACAAAATGGGCCCGTTTTACTGCGTTTTCCATTACTTTTTCGAGCATCTCTGGTGATATAGCGGCGATTGCTGTATGAATGTTTGCCTTGAGTTCCTTAGTGGTCTGGGGCTTGCTGGCGTACACTTGACTTTTCCAATAACCCCACAAGAAGAAGTCCGGTGGGGTAAAATCTGGAGACCTGGGTGGCCAGTCAATGTTACCTCTTTTTGACATCAGACGTCCAGGGAATTTTCGTTGCAGAAATTGGATTGTTTCATTTGCAGTGTGGCATGGCGCACCGTCTTGTAGAAACCAGTAACCATCAAGACCTTTTTCACGCATTTGTGGGCAGACATAATGAGCCAACATCCACTGGTATCGATTTCCATCGACGGTCTCGTTTTCGTTGAAGAAAAATGGCCCAATGGTGGTTT